AAATTACACTGAAATTTTAACATGTTATTTCTTGAAATGGGCGACTTTTTGTCATTGAAATCTTCAATTAATTATCTATTTTACGACCGTTGTTATAAGGTTCAATATTCAGAGGCTGTATGTTACTAAAAAAAATGTGTCAAATGCTATGGAACGATTTTAACATTCATGACCTTTAGATTCAGGGAAACTTTAAATTAGTTAAAGATGTGCGTAAATATAATATGTCAATCAAGCTCGAAATCAGTTAAATAAATTTGTTAATGAAAAATTAAAGTGAAGTGAATCAACATGTTGAATAGAAAGAAATTATGACAATTTCTAACCACAAAACAATAACATCACTTCACCGTATGCTCTAGACAGCATTTTAATATTCTTAAAAAATATAAACATTATTATAAGTTAATTTGAATAAAGGCTACATTACGTTTTGTAAAATATTCAAGTAATCATGACTGTTACTGAGACCAGATATTTCCACGAGCTCACCGGGACCCATAAAAGACATCCAACCCCAATACCCGACAGTAATACGGCCACTGGTCCTACAAGGCAGAAGGTTACAATTCGTATACCTTTCTCCATCTTTTCTCCACAATATTTTACGCCATCCTTATCCGACTTGAAAGTGTTTTCGTCACTAAATATAACCACACTGTTCGCCCAATCAAAATTAATAAAGTCCCTAGCAAATTCTAATCGCTTTTGCTGGTGCACCACAGATAACAATATTTTCTTCGCTGGCTTTCTGCACCTTAAACCAGCAGAATGCAGGTGTCTCCGTACAGTTTGTATTGAAACATTCAGTGCTGTCACTTTAGTGTGTGTTGGCAGGAACGGATCAGCCTTGTGCCTGACTACGATGTCGTAGTGCCGAGCCGATGAATTTGCCTTTGGTTTAGGCCCACGTCGACGATGTTCAACGTCACCGGTCTCCGCATATCTGTGCACCCATAACTGCACGGATCTCCTCTGTTGATACCAAACAAATAAGTATTTAAAATACCAGGAAATACTTTACAGGAATTAAAGTTACTTAAAAATAATAATAAATATAATTAATATCTATAAATAACTTTAAATTATAAACACAATATCAACTAGATAT